TACCATAAACAAAATTTCTTTCCAATTGGAGAATTAGTTTTGGGTTAATTTGATATAGTTTGCCTTCATAACCATTTTTTTTTTTTTTTTTGGACATGTTATTTACCACTCACACAGCCTATTCTATAATTTTGACTTTAACCATTAGGTTAACAGTAACTAAATAAAATTCTAATTATTTTTTTTTCCTTACTGACACACCAGCCATCTCCCACAAAGGCAGGGTGACCAGAAAAAGACAAATACTTACGCCTTCACTCAATTACTGTCTTACCAGGGGTACACCATCATTACATCTCAGATGCCCCTCCAAACTACAATATCTCCACCACCACCCCTTCCTCAAATTGCAGGCACTGTAATTTCTACCTCCTGGACTCAAGCCCGGTTAACTAATTTCTTGAATCCCTTCATAAAAGTTGCCCTGTTGACACTCAAGTCATGAAAGCCACTTGTTTCCACTCATATATAACATACTCACACAAACACTTGTTGGATGTCCAAGCCTTTAATATACAAAACTTCCTTTACCCCCTACCTCCAACCTTTCCTAGGACAACCCCTATCCTGCCTTCCCTCCACTACAGATTTATACACCTTCCAAGTCATCCTATTACGTTCCACCCTCTAAATGTCCAAATCACCTCAATAACCCTTCGTCAGCTCTCTGGATAATACTTTTAGTAACTCTGCACCTTCTAATCTCCAAACTACACACTCTCTACATGATAATTACATCACTGCCTCCAGCCTCCTCCTCACTGTAAAATTTAACACCCATGCTTCATGCCCATTTCAGAGTGCTGGTACCTATATACCCTGACACTTTATTCTTTTTGCCTTCATAGATAAATGTTCTTTGTCTCCACATTTTCCTCAATTCACCATCCACTTTTTCTTTTACATTAATCATAAATCTAATGGGGAAGCGGAACAGAATTCTTCCTCCGTAAGCCATGTGTGTTGTAAGAGGCAACTAAAATGCTGGGAGCAAGAAGCCAGTAACCTCTTCTCCTGTATACATTACTAAATTTAAAAAGATACTTTTGTTTTTCGGTCACCCCTGCTTTGGTGGGATACAGCCAGTTTGTTGAAAGAAGAGTTAATCAACAATGCAGAAATACAGTAAACGACCTCTGATAAAGGAAATGTAAATTGGCCTTAATTTAAAAAATCTTGTTAAAAAATAATTGCCAGGGAGAAAACATGTGGTTTTAATTCAAATTCGTGACTCGGTCATTTTTGTCTCCTCTAGGCGATATTAGATTATGGCTATATTATATGTTACAATGGCAGTGTTCTTGGTCCTCTGCATTTCCTCATATACATCAATGATCTACCATAGGTGTGTCAACAACTTTGACATGTTCTGTTTGAAGTTGAAATGACTTGTCATCTCCCACCCAAATCCAAATTCTCCCAATAACTACTGTTAATAAAGAGCTCATGAAGATATTTACCTGATTTACCATGATGTTTTGGAAAAGAGCTACAAATGTCCAACTAAATCTTATGATCGATGGTTCTCCCATTAGAAGATAAAACAAAGGAAAACTCTTATTTTTGACAACAACTTGAAATTCCACACCCACATTCAGCACAACAAAAAGAAAAATAATTATCCAAATCAGTTGGCATCCTCCCTTAGATACATTACTATGTACCTCAGACAGCACTATTTATATTATACTACTGTCTCATCTATCTCTATCTCACCTATGCTATTTGTGCCTGGGGATCTACTACAGCAAACCACCTAGAGGCAACAACAACTCAACAAAAAGTGGCTGTACGAATGATCACCCAATCTAGTGTCAAACAACACTTTCCTACTCTTCGAAACTCTACACTTTAACACACAAAGAATTCATTCATACTACTGCAAATACTACATATATAGGACAATCACTTCCAGCATCAATCCTGCCCTGATGCTCTTTCTTGATAGCTTCAAGAGAGCTCATAAGCATAATACCAAACACAAATGATATTCCGTGTGTCCAAATCAACCTATGTAAAAACTCAATGTGCATAAAAGGACCTAAAATCTGGAACTCTGCCTGAAGATTCCCAAGGTTCTCCTATCTGCCAACCACTTTTGTCAAAGCCATTAAAAAACACATTACCTTAATGTGATTCTGAAAATAATTTATTATACCAAAAAATTCTGAAACTCTACCTTTTAAAATTTAAAAAAAAAAAAAAAAATTAAATTTTGGACCCTGTGGACAGGTTTCAGCTCGGGGGGTTTGGACCCTGAAAGGGTTAAAACTAACATAATTACTAGACAATGAGGTACATAATACATGAGAATAAGAATACTTAATCTATATTATATTGAAGGTATTCAGTAATTCATTAAAAAAAAAAAGTTACAGATATATTAAAGATGAAGCTGGGTACCTGAATTAAAAAAAAAATGTCTTCCTAGTAACAAATGAAAGTTGACGAAAGGACGGCATAAGAGCAGGGACAATATTGGATAAAAGATAGAGTTTCAGGATTTATTTGGTATAATAAATTGTTTTCAGAATCACATTATGAAATGGTAGAGAACCTTTTTCTGAAGGAAAACTGATGAAATTACACTTGCAAGTTTTGCTGTATCAGTGATATTTACGCATCAGCGATTTTGCCCACTCTGACTCCCATTTTAGGCCAATTACATTATTCCAGTTGACCAAATTCTTAGCTATTTCGCTAGTATTACTTCTATTTTATCGATTGAGCACAGAAATTGCCCAATCAACTACACATTTCAACTACCCAATAAAGTGATCAGAAATTGGTAATTTGGCCAATTTTACACAAAGTTCAAAATATTCCAGTTTCAAAATAGGGTCCAGAATAAACAATGCAAGCATTTCTGGCACTAAAATAACATTTCCTCAGTTCATTAGTTATGTTTCCAGGCTTTACTAGTGAATTCCATTTTAGCTTTTTATTCAAGTAAAGAATTTTTATTCACACCAAAATATTGGGCAATATTGTAATAATTGTATAAATAACATTAGTGCATTCTTTTTTTTTTTCAACAAGTCAGCCGTCTCCCACCGAGGCAGGGTGACCCAAAATGAAAGAAAATCCCCAAAAAGAAAACACTTTCATCATCATTCAACACTTTCACCTCACTTATACATAATCACTGCTTTTGCGCATTTGTGAACGCATATTAGACCCACCAGTTGACATGTATAGGACACATGACGTCGTTTGTCTACTCTTGAACACCAGCAAAAATTGAACATATCTGCTAATTTGAACTCAGTTTTAAGAAGCAAAAATATTCAGTTTTTGCCAATATACCAGAAGACAGGTAAGGCCCTACTACAACCTTCAGTATGCTTGACAGCTTTTTTTAATAGGTCTGATTCAATTACTGGCATGTCATAAACCATGACCAATCATACATGGTGATATTTTATTATCCAAGAAATAGAGTAAATCTTCCATTTTTGTGCAATTAAGAATTCAAAATGGAAGCCAAACGTAATATGAGAGAGGCCTGGGGATGTGACTAATGAACAGAGAAAATGTTTTAGTGCCAGAAATGTCCACACTGTTTATTTTGGACTATTTTCAAACTGGTATTTTTTATATTTTGTGTAAAATTGGCCAAATTACCAACTTCTGTGTACTTTATAGGGTAGTTGAAATAGTTGAATGGGTGGTTTCTCATGCTCAATCAATAGAACAGAAGGCATTGCCTGAAACGCTCTCCAGGCATACTCCAGGACTCAGAGAGAGCAAAATCGATGATTTGTAAATTGCGCCAAGACTCCTAACTTTGCGCCTGCGTAATTCCATAGGTTTTCCATCAAATTCTGTACTTTTGGTGTTATTACCTTCAGAGAAGGATTTTCTACAATTTCAGAACCAATTTTTTTTTTCATTACCTTCAGAGAAGGATTTTCTACAATTTCAGAACCAATTTTTTTTTCAAGTTTACACAGAGCAAAATTAATTTCAGGGGTCTGGACAGTGAAAGAGTTAATACAGAACTCAAGTCTGGCTAACTAGGGTCCCCTGAATCCCTTCATAGATGTTACAATGAAATACTTCAGTAGCACCTCAAATCTCAAAAACCACTCATCTTCATTCTAATCTAACAAAGAAATAACCCGCATGGAAGAGAATGAAACTTACGACGACATTTTGGCCTGACTTACCAGTCATGGTACTGTACATTTTTATTCTTTCTAATCTAACTTGTTCACACATGCCTGCTGAACATTCACACCCCAATTAATTATTTCCTTCACATCCTTCTTCCAAACTTTCCTGAGGCATCTCCAACTTTACCTTCTGTTCACTCCATACCTACACACCTTGATCAACCTGTCTGGAATGAATACATGGAATTCAAGGAAACAAGCTAGTCAAACATAAAGAGGGAAAACTGGTGATGCTGCTGTTTAGAGAATCATTGGAATTGAGATGTCAGCACACTTCTAGCAAGACAGCTATTGAATGAATGATGGTGAATGAGTGCAACTACACAAAAAATATACAGCAAGTGAAAATACCTGGTAAAAAATGGTAAAGTGCACACAAATATAATATTGTAGCACTGAATGACCATCAAGGGTTTCACACTATTCATAAATATGAGTAAAATACTGTATAAAAAAATTTAAATACCTAAACTTTTTACACAAATGATCTTCAAAACTAAATATCACCCATTAACTCTCATCATTTAGTTAATGGAGCCTGGCCAAAGGATTGTCTCTTCTTAATTACATTTCATACATTGGTAAAAAAAAAAGCAGGGGCCATCAATGTAGTAAAGGTTTATTAATATAAGTTCAATCTGTTATATTTTAAAGTTTCAAGAATTAGCTTTTGAAAATTTTAAATGTGCAAGTAGTAAGTGACTATAATTTTCTTAAGAGCATTTTATATTAATGCTATCATTATTTACTTATATTTCACTGTGCAAAAATTTCACTACCGGTGATGACCACCTACTTTATAACAAAAAGAAAAATAACACTCACCATCTGGTGGGCCTGTTGACTTCCAGGTGGACCAGAGGAAGATGGGTGAACCTCCTGGCCACCATCTTCACTATAGCTTTCCAGCATACCAAATCCTCCACCAATTTCACCTGTACCAAGCCACTGTAAACAAAAAAGAAAATATGAAAAAAAAAAAAATACATTATTTAAGCATAATTTAAAAAAATCAAGATACAAGGATAGGGAACCAAATTATTTAAAACAGGATCACCTGCATTTTTGTGGTCTGGTGCCACCGAGTTAGAAGAAATTTTATACAATGTAGTAATGTTTACCTGAATAAACTTCACAAGTTTGTTATACCACGAACTTTATATTAAACATATTCCATTACCTAACCTAGACAATGTTACTGACAACTACAAATATTGTGAGTTGGGGTTTACATCAAGCATTATACGGCTTTTTAAAAAAATTATAATCAGAACACACAAAGGCTAATATTAAACCATGCCTGGCATTACAGAAATGCTACTGAGTCAGCAGGTTTTCTGTTTAGCTGGAAGCATAAGAATTGCCAACCGAAACTCTTTAGCTAAAATTTTAACTATGAGTGGCCGTCATGTAGATTTACATTACTGATGCCAGGATCCCTCACAAAGATCTACAGCGGGCTCAGCTCAGTCAGGTAAGATGCGAGCAGAAATTTTTTGCCTAGATAGAAGAGAATGGGTCTGTTTGCATGGTATAAAAAAAAAACCTGTCCCAGGCAGTACATGATGGTAAAAAGAAAACTGACTGACGGGTTTAAAAATAGGTGGTTTGTTAGATGGTTTTTATGACTTTATTGGCTATTTCTTGGTATTATTTGACAGAATGGAAGACATACTACTGGAATAAAGATGATTTTGGTTGGTTTTCAAGAATGGAAGCAGCTTGAAATTGGGATCAAATTAGCAAATAGATTTTTACTGATTTTCCTGAGAATGGGTAAGGCTCCCCTACACTCTCTGATCTGTTTTGTGTGTTTTTATTAGGTCTGATTCAATTACTATTTGGACCCTGTAAAACAATCATTCCAGGTAAATATTTAATTACCCAAGAAAAAGGGCAACTCTTCTCTTTTTTTGTGATTATGAATTCAAAATGGAAGGTAAGTGTAAAATAGGACAGGCCTGAGGACGTGTTTAACCCTTTCAGGGTCCGTCCCATAGATCTACGGCTTTACGTTCAGGGTCCAAACCGTAGATCTACGTCATGAGCTCAGCTCACTCTGATAAACTGTGAGTGGTACACTTGGGCCTAGATATGAGAGAATACATCTATGTGGTATGTGTGCACCACATAAAACAAATCCTGCAGCACACTGTGTATAATAAGAGAAAAAAAACTGAAACCAAGATTTTCGATTAAAACAGCAACTTTGCAGTGCTTTTTCGTATGTTTTTTATAGTTGTATTTGCAATTTCTTGGTCTCATTTGATAGAATGGAAGACATATTACAGAAATAGAGATGATTTTGATTGGTTTTAGCACTGGAAATGGCTTGAAACTGAGCTCAAAGTAGCAGAAATGTTAAATTTTTGCCGAAGTTCAAGAGTAAACAAACGACCTCACACGTCTAATACATGCCAGTTGGTGGGTCTAATATACATTCACAAATGTGGTGATGATATTTATACAATTATTACAATATTGCATAACAGTAAATCTTCTATTTTTTGGTGTGAATAAAAAATCAAAATGGGATTTATTTGTAAAGCCTCAAAACGTAACTAATGAACAGAGGAAATGTTAGTGCCAGGAATACCTACATTGTTTATTCTGGACGCTATTTTGAAATTGGAATATTCTGAACTTTGTGTTAAATTGGCCAAATTACCAATTTCCGATCACTTTATTTTGTAGTTGAAACAGTTGACTTGGCGATTTCTTGTGCTCAATCGATAGAATAGAAGTAATACTAGTGAAATAGCTAAGAATTTGGTCAACTGGAATGATGTAATTTGCCTAAAATGGGAGTCAAAGTCGGCAAAATCGCTGATTCGTAAATATCGCTGACACATCAGAATTCGCGAGAGCATAATTTGGTCAATTTTCCATCAAATTTCGTACTTTTTGTTTTATTGCCTTCACAAAAAGATTCTCTACCATTTCCTAAGAAAAAATAACAAATTTTTTTTTTTTTTGGAAAATTCTTGGACACTGGGGCACCACTTCTGATTTTGGCCTTGGAACCTGAAGGGGTTAATGAACGGAGGAAATATTGACCTAGTGCCAGCAATGTGGACATTGTTTATTACTGACAGTTTTTAATTTGGAATTTTTTTGATTTTGTGTAAAACTTGCCAAATTATCAACTTCTGTGCACTTTACAAGGTACAGTGGTCCCTCAATAATCGTCCATAATCCGTTCCTGGAAGTGGGACTATTATCGAAATGGACGATTTTCGAATCAATTTTCCCCATAAGAAATATTGTAAATCCAATTAATTCGTTCCAGACACCCAGAAGCATCAACAACAATTTTTTTTTTACCTAAAAGATAGATTTACATGCACAAAAGAATGAACATTCAACATGAGTTACCTTTATTGAAGGCTGTTGTTGATGAATGGAAGACAGGGAGGAGGAGAGAGGAAAGAGAGGTTATTTGGAAGAGGAATCCCCCTCCATAAGGACTCTAGGGCACTAATAAAATGTATAAATGAACATTGGTAATAGGGGTAGTTGATGAGTGGAACGGTCTGCCTAGTAGGGTGATTGAAGCTAAAACATTGGGTAGTTTCAAATTTAGGTTGGATAAATACACGAGTGAGAGGGGTTGGATTTGAGTCGGACTTGCACCTGAGCTTATTGCTTGGGTAGCATTTGTTCTGTTAGTGGGTTGGATTTGTGAAGGACCGGCCTAGTATGGGCCAACAGGCTTATTGCAGTGCTCCTCCTTTCCAATGTTCTAAAAGCTATGGCTTGGGTAGTTTCAAATTTAGGTTGGATAAATACACGAGTGAAAGGGGTTGGATTTGAGTCGGACTTGCGCCTGAGTTTATTGCTTGGGTAGCATTTGTTCTGTTAGTGGGTTGGATTTGTGAAAGACCGGCCTAGTATGGGCCAGCAGGCCTGTTCCAGTGTTCCTACTTTCTTAAGTTCTTATTTAACATCACACTTACCAGTAGGGTGATCGAGGCTAGGACCTTGGGTAGCTTTAAGAATAGAGTGGACAAATATACGAGTTGGAGGAGCTGAGTTTGATTTGTGTCATTGGGTACAAGAGTAAATTCTTGGGTAGCTTTGGGTGGAGGTCATTTTGATAAGGACCTGCCTTGTATGGGCCAGTAGACCTGCAGTGTTCTTCCATTGTTATGTTGAACATTAAAATGGTATAAAATACCGACAGGTTGTTAGGTAAGACACATATGCAACAGTTAGGTATCTTTATTCCGAAACGTTTCGCCTACACAGTAGGCTTCTTCAGTCGAGTACAGAAAAGTTGATAGAAGCAGAAGATACTTGAAGACGATGTAATCAGTCCATTACCCTTAAAGTTTTGAGGTGGTCAGTCCCTCAGTCTGGAGAAGAGCATTGTTCCATAGTATGAAACAATATGGAGATGAAGTGACAGGATGGAGCCTTATATAGTGCCAAGAGGTGAGACGTAGGTCACTAGAAGAGGTAAGAACTCAGATGTTGGGAGGTCAGGTCCCTCTCAAATCCAGCCGTTCTCACTAGTAGAGGTTGTCGAAGTTGATTGTAGGTCTGTACCAAGATACCCTTGTGTTGCAGTGTCTGACAGATTGAACATTAAAATGGTATAAAATACCGACAGGTTGTTAGGTAAGACACATATGCAACAGTTAGGTATCTTTATTGTTATGTTCTTATTGGCTATTTGTTTGTGTGAAGGAGGGATGGCAAGTTTATTGTTGGAGAATATGACACTAATATCAACTCTATGGCTTATTTATCTATCACAATTCAACTAATATGACATAATAAACAATATTAATAACATAAAAGGGAATATACTCTAGAATGAATAAAATAAGTCATTACGTATGTCACGAGTGGTGTTGTGTTGTGTTGTTGTTGGGTATATAAGGGCCACTGAGTGTAAGCCGTCCATAATGGTGGTGAAACAGCAGCTGAGGCGGCGGTGGTTTTTGTAGCCCTATATAACTCATTTGGGACTTGCAAATGAGTGGATAGAGTTATCAGAGCTTATTTATTGGGTAGCATTGAGAACTGGGTTGGGAAAATGTTTCGTTAGTGGGATGAATTGTAAAGGACCTGCCGAGCATGGGCCAACAGGCCTGCTGCAGTGATCCTCCTTTCTTATGTTCATCAACCACTATCACAACTGCTTCCACTCTACCACCACCATCTTTGCATTTTTCTACAAACTTTTTCATAAATTATGTGTTTCTCACATTCTTTACCACTAGAAGCTTTATTTTAGCCATGGTAGCTTATTTAGCACTTGCAAGCACTAAAATCAATGAAATATTATGAAATATTTTGTAGGAGCATGTGAGGGGACCGTCACTCACTGGTAAACAATGGCACACTGGCTGGGAAGGAAAGGCCGAGGCGGCTCAGAGCGTGAGTACGCGTCTGGGACGAAGGACTACTAGGACTATTAGCGAGTTACCGGACCATTTGCGAGCCAATATTTTGACGAAAAAACAGAACTATTTCCGAAATGGATGACTTTCAGGCCGGACGATTTTTGAGGGACCACTGTAGTTCTAATAGTTCAGTGGGCAGCTTCTTGTTCTCACTCAATAAAACAGAAGGCATACCATGGAAACAGCTAAGAATCTGGTCAAATGGAGTAATGGAATCGACTTAAAAACAGTGAAAGGGTTCAAGTATGACTTCCTTTGTCAGAAAGGAAGTTTTTAATGTGATTCATGCAGAACTGCTATGTTGTTTTACTGCAATTTCCCCAGCCAGTTCAATGTATTTCTGCAAATAGACTATTTTTCTTTCATTTTTTCATACTAGAAAAAATGAAAGAAAAATAATTTATTTGCAGAAATACATTGAACTGGCTGGGGAAATCTGCAGTAAAACAACATAGCAGTTCTGCATGAATCACATTAAAAACTTCCTTTCTGACAAAGCTCTGTGTGGACAAGGTGAATATGCTAAGCAGAATTCTG